ATGTTTGTGTGTTTATGTGTATATATGTATATATGTATATCGATAGATACACATTTATCTGCTGCATTGCGGCTGTGTGCATATTTTATGTATATATATATGGGTGCGTGTGTTTTTGGAAGGGGCGAGTGCCTATTCCACGACAGGTGTGTGTCCTCAAGGGTGTGTGTTGGTTTGTATCTTTGCCTGGGCAGGTATATACTAATAGCAAGATGAGATATCCGACTGGTTATACCGGTTCACTGTATCGATGTTGACCGAAACACACCGGAAATACGCATGGAAGAACATGTCGATATGTATTATTGGCTGTTATTACCGACGTACTACATGGATATTCCCCATATGAAAACCCTAAACCCCAAACTGGTTTAGACATGCGCATATACACCACGTCGTTGTGTACCCCACAAAGACGGCCCATACCGATACTTTATATGCACGTTGCCCGTACACACAAATAAATATGTATGTAGAACACGTGGTACTGTACGTGAGATAGTTACTATTAATACTGACCAATCAAATCGACCCGTCTTGAACAGGCAAGCCATTGGAGGGGACAGCCTGACTGGGGCAAGTACACGCACATCGACTTCAATGTGTTGTGCTCGATGGCCGTTGAGGAGATTACAAAGCAGAAACGCGGGGAGCGGTAACAACAGCTTAATCAACAAGCTAAGATGATACGAAAGACTGTACAAATATATGTAGTTATGAAGCTAAGTTACAAATACTTGTATTAGTATGAAGATAAGTTACAGATACATGTATTAGTTATTAAGTGGAGTCGGAATACACTACCAATACATATCTAGTTCTGCCACTTAGTGCATCCGATAGTGCGTCTGTGTCCATATGTGATACGGATGCACAAACTCACGCACATTTACTGCGATGTGTTGTGCACAATGGCCGGTACAAACGTAGCCATGCAGCAACCAGCTCGAACTCAGCGATGGCTGTGTTATAGCTTCTGCCCTACATCTCTGAGGAATGCAATCATATCGCCGCGGGCTTATAACCTCGGCGTGAAGCCGTTGCGCGTCTGTGTACGTGTCTCTGCAGGAGGGTGCACTAAGTAGGTACGTAGGAGGAACTTAGGGGATTATTAGAGGGTGTTTGATATTAATACATACAGAACGCCTATTTTGTACCAGCTCACGGAGTCAACCTAGATGGATCTATGAATGAACGGTCGCGGCCCTCTCTCATGCTGCCCTGTTTAAACACAGCCTGAGTAGTCAACCTAAATTGATGATCCGATCCGTCTGGGCTCTATCCCATGCTACCTGGTTTTTATACAGCCGGAGTATTCGACCTAAATGGATATATGAATGGGCCATCCCGACCCGCTCCCATGCCTCCTGGTTTTAATACAGCCCAAGAAGTGAATCTAAATGAGTGTATGAATGGAAGACAATTCCGACTCTCTCCCATGCTAGCTGGTTTTAAACCAGCCTGAGTGCTCAACCTATATAGATGTATGAATGAACCGGACAATTCCGGCCCTCTCTCGTGGTAGCTGGTATTTAAATAAAGTCAGAGTAGTCGACCTATACGGATATATTAATGGACTATTCCGGTATATC